TAGTACTCTCTCTCTCTCTCTCCTTCTCTCTCTCTCTCTCTCTCTCCTCTCTCTCTCTCTCTCTAATTTAGCTCATTAAACCCTTATATTTGGTTGGTTACAGGAGGCTGCGCATGAAAAAACTCAGAAGTACAAAGAAGGGAAATTTATCCTTGAGAGGTAACTTTTCACTGTCTCATTATTTCTGAGTGAAATGAATATTGGGTTTTGTGGCACAATATCTTCTGATCCATTCCTTGTTTCGACAGAGGAAGGATTGTGAATGGGATAGACTCAGAGTTCTATCTTGATACCCACTTGGGTGGGAGTAGTGATGCAGAAGATGCTTAAGAGGGTTCATCTTTTGTGGTTATACTTGTATATATATAAATATATTCATTCCTAGAAATAGAAATACCTGCACTCGAATTAATAAGAACAATGCAAAACCCTAGGTTGTTTGCTGTAATTGATATTGCATGCTATACATATGTTGTCTGACCTTCTTGTTCTACTTACCAAGGTGGCATAGATTGAAGAAACCCTGAGTGATTGTTATTAACTGAACTTTGAAGCAATCAAGAATGCTCCTCACTTCTCATAATTATGGCGGAAGATTTTTCTAATGATTCTTATTCCACTGCAGAAACCTCGCTCAAGCATTTAAAATTAAGTTGTTTTTGCAAATAGAAAATAAATGGTATATGATAGACAATAAAATTTGTGAAACAGGACTGCTATGTGGATTATTTCTTGCAAAAGGGCATAAATATAATTTTGCCAAAATTTCATGGAGAGAATAGAGCTGTGGGGTATGGGGTTCATACGACTCAAAGAAAATATGTTTCTTTTGTGAGCAAACCTTTCTCATATCTATCTATCTTTTATATCTTAAACGAAAGGATTTATGCAGCATTTGAAAATTTGGCGATCTGGATTCGAGTCGTCCAATCTGAATTGGGAATCCTCCTGCCAGATCTTGTCATATTCCCTTTTGAGCTGGCCTGTCTAGACCGGTGTAGCAGTTTTCTAATATAACCGGTTGACAATAGGCTGCCATGTGTCAGAGATCTTTGAATTTCTTTTTAGAACTTGTGTAATTTTTAAAATATTTTTGAAGAACGGGTGGGAATTTTTTTAGAACTTTTCACTGAACTTTATGGGAAGCGGTGCACTTACATATGTTATCCGACTCTTTTTTTTCCAATGTTGTGTGAGCACCTCGCCAACTCCCCCACACGTAGTTTCCAATTTTGTGCGGCTATTTTGGGATCTTTTTTTTCTTTTTGCCTTTTATCAATTGCATATATAGAGTTTGCTAAATAGGCATTCTGTTGCCTATTCGCATGAAACGAAAATATTGTGACATTTTAGCACTTGCTTTTTTGGGTATCAGAAGAACTTCACTCTACCGCATGAAACGATTATGTTTGGGACATTTTATCACTATTCCATGAAACGAATAAATTTTTTGGTGTTAAATAGCACTATTGCTGAGACATTTAAAACGAATTAATTGTTTAAAAGAAACTGTAGAAAAAACAAATTTTTTTTTTGTGAAAGCATGAATGGAGGATCATAGGTTTAATTGCCATTTTTATTTAATAAAAACATGATAGCTCATTGTGCGGGTCATAGTTTTTTCTCTCTATTAATTCAAAGGTCCAAAACTGTTGTAGGGTTTTTTTTTTTTCTCTATAAAAGTTTGAGTTCTTTTTTTTTTTCACTATAAAAATTTGAATTATGGACATCCATTTTATTGTGGTGAGCTGCATTTTAAATCTTATTTTTACCATAAAATGTAAGTAATAGAGAGCAAACACTTAGACATGAGACAAATTTTCAATGTTTATGTATATTTAGTAAAATAATTAAAAATTATAATACAATACCATAATCTTTTTTGAAAACCTATAAAACTAGATTTTAAAGAAATTATAGTGAGTTTTTTAAATGTTTTTAATGTTGGATCTTGTGGATCCGGTCGATTTTTTGATATGTATAACCGATCCACCGATCCGACACGGTTTTTAAAGTGATCGATGTGGCCCACCGATCTGTTTTTTAAACCTTGGTTTGATGCATTTTGCTATTTTGAAAAGGGATATTATCATTAAACTAGTCAAACCACCTAAAATCAAATGATAAGGCAGTTAAATGAATAATTTTACCAACAATACTACTTTTACGTGGAAGCATTATATTATTTTGGCCCCACTTAGGTCATCCAACCCAAAAGATGTAAATACACTTGCTTGTTGTAAGCTCTAAACCCAAAACATACTTTTGTATAACAAAATGTATTGTAAGCTTGAAATCAAGAACAAATATGGCTGTCATTTGGTTTGAGTAGCTTAAGCGGTGAAGTTACCAAAATTTTTAAATCCTCGGGGTTCAAGATTCTGGCAATTTAGGCATCTTCTAACAAAATATTTGAAGAGGTAGCTAAATGGTTTTTAAGAAGTAAATTGAGGAGGTAGTCAACCATTTTGTTAGTAATTAGTGGATTTAACCTCCTCACTAATGTTGAGAAATCAATATATATAAAAAAAGGAAAAATTATCAGAATATCTATAAGAGATGTATTATTTAACATTTTTTCCATTTGCAACTATTCCAAATCATGATCACGTATGGTTGTAATCGGTTTTTAAAATTAAATCAAAAGATATGGGTAAAATGTTCAATCTCTCATGGGTATTTGGATTTCCTTCAAAATAATCTGGACTCCAAAAGTTGAAAACATGTTATTCATAAATTCAGTCCCCCTCTCACTCTCTCTCCCCACAGTTTTTTTATAGCTCCTAGTTTTTAATCAATTTATGCAAGAATTTGGTAAAACTATGAGCAATATTGTTTTTTTGTTTTCTTTTATGCTATGTTGACTTGGTGTCGCATGTGCTTACTTTACAAGGGTCTTCCATTTTGTTGTTTAAGAACATGTCCCCACTACCATTGTAAGATTTTTAATTATGTTGGGGAGGGAATCATGACAGTAGGAGGTATCAATGGGCGTCATGGGATAAATTATGTAAAAAAAGGATGGAGGACCACCATTCAGGGATGAACGTGTGTAGGATCATGAAAGGAGGCCTAATATAGGAAACATGAAAGGAAAGAAATGGGTGTACCTTTGATGGAATATATCCTAGAAGTTGATAGAATGGGTAGTATTATAAAGGAGACTTGCAAACTAGGTATCTGTAAAGAAAGTGTTGGGAATTTCTTATAAAGATGTTTTCAATGAGCAAAAAGTATGTGGCCAAGGTGAATGCGGCTAAGAATCGAAGAAGGAAATAGAAGGTTCCTATTTTTTTAGTGTAGCCCCACTGGGAATCTGGGCTCTTCGAAATATTACAAGGGTGTGTTGATACTTTCATTTTCGGTGATTGGGATTATTGGAAGCATTATTTTTAGGATAAAGTTTTATATAAGGGTGAGGCCCTGAACAATCAAATTAAGATCACCTCAAAAATTCACTAGAAGATGTTTTGATACTGAAAACCCTCAATTCGAGCATCTCGACTTGAAGATGTATGGACAAAAGAAAAACTGGATATCAAGTCTTATAAATAATGCATCTTGGAATGTATTATTTAGACTATCAATTTTCAAGATTTTCATAGATATATGCTCTCAATTTACTCCATTTTTTAATCCTTAAATTTTATAATTACAAATGAAAATAAATTTTTAGGCCATCATAAAAAATTTTCATACTGAAACAACATATTTCAGCATTATTTGAAGAAACACCTTACTTTGATCGTTTAAGGCGTCGGCCTTATACAAACCACACCGTATTTTTTAATATATTGTAGAAAAGGGTCCAAAACGTACCATGATATCTTGCATCTATAGTGGAGAAAATCAAGGACCTTTTTACTGGAGGACGCATATCCTTTATCATGTATAGAGGAAGCTCGGCTAGGAAGTTAATTCATTGGAAAAATTGGAATGACAGATACGACTCTTTTAAACAAGGAAAAGTATACAAAAAGACTATTGAAATAAACATTAATATGATCTTGTCGAGGAATATATATTTTTTATTTTTTTTCTTTTCACTTCTTTTTATTTTTTCCTTTTGGCAAAGATCACTTACACCCCACACCGAGTCACCACCATCCGATGGCGTGTGATCAACCATCAACATTCAATCTCAACCAAGAAAGAAAATTTAAGCCTAACCCTCTAATAGAACTATGAACTCCTTTATCACAAATCTCAAACCTTAAGGTAGTATCAACCAAAAAAGCAAGTTTAAGCCAAACCCTCTAATGGAACTATGAACTCTTTTATTACAAATCTCAAACCCTAAGGTGACCTAGTTTGAGAGAGATGAATTATCTTTTTGCTATACCCTAAAACCTTGAGCCATAAATTCATAGTTGAGAGATAGGAGAGATGATAACTTCATAGTCTAAACCCTTAGGTTCTTTCACAATGTGGGAGAGAGATATCAAAGATGGGAGAGTGGGACGTGCCCCCTTTTGGGCTTTCATGAGAGAGAGAAACTTTTCTTAAGAGAGAGATAAATCCTTTTGTGCTTTCATAAGAGAGGAATTTTACTTAAGAGAGAGAGAAAAAAATTATAGTTAAGGTGTGCCCTTTTGTGGGATATGAGAGAGAAAAATGAGAATTAGGTGTAAAAGATAAAGTGTAGAGATTTTAGGGAGAGACAATCCTTTTTTATAGGCTTTGAACCAAATTAAGGTTTCTTAAGGTTTCTTTGGCTTGCATCTTCTTGTGAGATTGAATAGGAACTATTGATCTTTGGTGACTTGTAGGGCGAGAGATTTGAGCCATCCATTCCATAGATGAACCATCAACATTATGGAAGGTGTTAGAACATTTATCCCCCTTTTCTAAACTATTTTCCCATCAATAGAAATTAAATAAGGTAATTCCAAATATAATAATGTGTATACTAAAATAATGAACAAGCATTCTCATGCGTTCCAAAAATTTATTCAAAGCTTCCTCATGCCAATACCTTTCCAAAACACATAGCATCTTGGCCGACAAGCGAAAGTCACTTATCACAAAAAAATAGAAAGCTTCTAAAAGGGTGGGCGTGCCACCAATGAGAGGATCTCATGGGCCCCACCATCGAGGCCATGGTGGGCCCACGTACACAATGGGTCCCCCATGCAATATTAAAATTAATTATATGATTTTTAGAAATCCGTAAAATCAAATTTGAATATTTAAATCAATCTAAAGTCATTATCTTTGTTTTTATAAATCTAAATTTGATAAATAAAATATCCAGAGGTCTAGAAAAATTCAAATAATAATTCTAAAATCATATATCATTAAAAAAAACATAATTAAATTCATTAGATTGGAAAATGATCAATATAGTCTAGGAATTAAATCAATAAAGCACTGAGGCAGTCCACCTTCAACTGTGGATTACAGACCACGCTTGCTTTATCAAACCGACCCAGTATTTTCCATTACCCACAGCCCAAAAAGGGGCTCATTAGTGGGTCACCAAAGTCTGCTCGATGAGCCAATGAATCACAATCCCAGTCCGTGGATTTCATGTTCTCCCTTAGAGACGTGCCAAAGTCACCTAGACCTGATGCAATCACAGCT